TGCCAATCCGGGTGGCAGTAGCCAGTTGGCTCGAAGTAAGCTGTAGGGCGGCCAGGTCAGTCTCTAGCTGGACGGCTGGAGCAGGAGTGACTTTAACAAACAGTTGGACAAAAGATGTAGTTGCAACCAGACCAGGCGGCAGATTTGACTGGGACGAAGAGGAGGAGGAGGGTGGGCAAATGTACCAGGAGTCCATGAGCTTCGTACCAAGCAAAAGTACGTGGGCAATGCTTGCGGCTGAGACTGTTTGCTGCTTCTTCAACGCGCCAGGGGTGTCGGAAGTGACGGCAGGGTATACGCTAACTGTTCCATCCACGGAGAGTGAAAAACTGACCTAAAATGCGACGAAAACGTATGTGTCTTGAATTCAAAAATGGCAAAAAGTGCAAAGTGGGCAGATTAAAGGTATCCTAGAGGTCGGATGTAAACTCTGGCTTTGTTGTCACGAATAAAACAAAATAGCATACGACTGTAAAAAAAACAACACGGGCAGAAGGCAGCCATTGTGAGTCTCCCCAAAACCGCTTTGTCCCTAGAAACAAGTCCGTTTCGGGCATCCAACGGACCAAATACGGTATCAATAAATACCATACGTACACCAATAGACTCACTAGCGTAGAGGGAATGGTTGTGCCCTGGTTTTATGCTGAGACATTTTCATTTGTGGGCAAGAAACGAGAGCCCTGCGCTAACTTCTAGGAAGATGAGGGCTAGTGTTAGCGTTAAGGTTACGGTGGAGTTTTGATTAGGCTTAGGGTTAATGACACTGGAATGTTTAAGCCTTCCAGGGATTCTGCACTGCGCCAACTGTATTACCGGAGTAGGGGGAATTCGCATTCCCGTGTGTGTGGCCCAAAAGTAAAATGTCCCAGCGTAAAATCAAGGTTTGATCGATCCGGTAGCTACGCACAAGGTGACCGTTCGGTCTGCCAGGAGATTCCGTTGTCACGAATAAAAACAAAATAGCATACGACTGTAAAAAACAACACAGGCGGAAGGCAACCATTGCGTGCCTCTCAAACAGCGTTTTTATAATTAAAAACGAGTCCGAAAAAACCATGACATCAGTGAATACCATGCGTACACTAAGAATGAGCCGACTGGCGTAAAGGGACCGGTTGTACCCTGACCAAAAGCTGTGACATTTCCACTTGTTGGCAAGGAACGGGAGCCTTGCGCTAACGCCCAGGGAGATTAGGGCTAGTGTTAGTGTTGGGTTTACGGTAGAGTTTTGGTTAGGTTTGGATTTAAAGTTAGGGTTATGGTTGAGGTTAGGGTTATGGTTAGGGTTA